TTATTTCAAAATTTAAGTTCCTATAATATAAACAATCAATAGGCAAAGTTTCACAAAATTCTCAGTGCAGGTTCTATTTCAGTGGAATGACCTTAAGCGGTCAAAAAATTAATTTATCTGGATTAATTCAACTAAAAAATCATTCTCTTAATATTAATCAGCCCCACATTAAATGATCTCTACCCACTAAATCCTGCGACCTCTAAACCTCAAGCGACAACCTCAAAGCCACTCAAATTTCGAAATAAAAAAAATCGATGACAAGTTAATTAAGATCGAGCCGGAATTTAACGACTACAGGATATGAGAATTTTCGTCCGAGAACCCTTTTAATGTGTTGCTTTAGCGTTATAATTGTGGAATGTCTGACAGAGAAAACACACAGCGGAAATGATGGGACCTTGATGAAGAGAAAACACAAATACTCTTCAAAAATCAATTTAGTCACGGTAATTTATTTTAGCGGTTGTTCATTTCATTTGTCAAAATAAACAGCTGACCCATCCCGCAATGTAAACTGTTGGCCTTGAGCAAACTTCTCTCCACCTCTGGATAAATTATTTAACAGAGCTTTCAAAATAAGAGAGAAATAATCCCGAGGGTGCAGTGGAAACATTTCGATTTATGAAGACTCGCAACCTTCACTGAAACCTGACTAGAAGGTACGGTTGTTGTGCTTACTTTATGTGAGATCTACAAATCTGTCTGTACCAGACGTATGAATCAAATTAAAGCTTCCGAAGGCACAATTACTCCTGACGCAATTTGGTTCGACAGCTGCCCTCCATATACTCACAACTGCGTTCAATCGGGTACATTCAGTACCGGTTTTCACTACGGCTTACGAATGCTGAGTGTCCAATTTTTATTATAATAGCGCAATTGTCATCAGTTAAAGTTGCACATGAGCTGACCGATGTCTGAAATGTAATTTCTTTCTTTTATTTGCTTTTCACCACTCCTTACGTAAATTACACTTATGAACCAGAAGCAATTTAAATCCATCGGTAACGAGAGGAGTAATTATAATTTTCTCGTATTATTAAAAACGTTTTTTCTTTTCTTTTTTCTTTTTTTTTTTTTGTGACGTTTTTAAATTATTGGGAAATTAATTGTAACACGAAGAAAAGCTTATAGAAGTTTCCTTTACACATGACATATGTTTGTTATTTAAATAAAGTATGTATGAAATGGATTTCGTTAAAGACGCGTTTGCATCTGATCGCTTCGATCGTTGCAAAACCCAAACTGAGTTCAGCCATTATTACCACTCCATAGCGATCGTAGCTGGCAGTCTCTTTCTTATTGAATCGTGTTATTCGTCGATAACACTTCTAAAAAGGTAAATCTTAAAATTATGTTAAAACGCTATGAGAAACGCTTACAAAACAAAGAAACAAAAAAAAAATTGATCCATGTGCCAGTTATGTTTGCATGAAATTGTCGGTGGAAATACTCGTTGAAAATAGATAAAATCATGGCCATTTCATACAAAATATATATCTCAAAATATCGAAGGGTCGCAACCAGGATAAATCATGATAAAATCTAAAATCATTCTTCGCCTGATTTAACTAAAGTCTTCAATAGGCGAAATGGTGGCCGCCCATTTGAAGACTGTGGTTCAGACAGTCGAAAGCTTGTGTGTGCTGTATCATTTCAGCCGGAGAACGTTTTTAGACTTTTTCAAAATGTATATCCACTCCTTAAACCTTGCTACTGTCATGCAGACTAATTCTTCTTCCAAGAAAGCAATGCGACTTATAAATTATACAATGAAGCTGCTAGTGAGAACAAACCCTGGCGATGCGCCAAACGTATGAATTGTTCTGTCGCATGTTGCCATGTCCGTATCAATAATGTATATTTATGGCCATTTCTTGTAATTCGTTTTACCCCTTATAGATCACGCTGCTGATTTTCCAATTCGTGCTGCTGCCGAACGTCCTAGCAGCCTTCTGTACCATTTACCAGACAAGTCAGAAATCTCGAGGACATGGATTGTGGCGCGCATGAAGCTCCATCTTATCTGTCTTATATTTCTATGATCGCATCACTGGTTCTGTCGGCCGTTACTATTTCGGGCAACTCACTCGTATTGTTGGCAGTATACAAAGACCCCCACAAAGAACTCCGAAAACCATTCACAATTTTTGTGGCGAACTTGGCGCTGGCAGACTTTACCGCCGGCTTCGTAACGGAACCAATGGCATCTTATTATACGATCCAGGAAGCGCGAGGGGGTGTTGTTAAGGATTTTGCCGTTTACCTAACACATCTGAGTTATTTTATGTCGTGTACGACTTCGGTATTTATCCTCGGTGTATTAACTATTGATAGATATCTGGCGATATCTCATTCATTGTGGTATAAAGCCCATGTCAGCCTGGAATCAGCCACAAAAGTATGTATCTTTGTATGGGTTGTGTCTATAACACTTTCACTGGTTTATATCAAGACCGGCTTTATCAATTTTGCGTTCGTTTTCGCAAATACTGCTGTCTTGACTACATCTTGCGTTCTTGTGTTTTCCTACTGCAGCATCTTTAAAACTCTCCGAAGCAGGACAGTCCGGGTTGGAATCTTACATGAAGGGGTGAATCAGCGTTCTGAGAGACATTTAAAAATACTAATGCTAGAGAACAAACTGATGAAGCTATATATGATGATGCTTGGAATATTTTTGTTTTGTTTTGTACCTTCGTGCGCGTTCATTTACGTGCTGTATTTCTGTTCGGTGTGCGATTGTATTACTGTTCATTGGCTTCGAGACATGAGCTTCTTACTTGTCTTAAGCAGTAGTTCCCTGAATCCAGTTTTGTACAGTTTAAGAATGAAGGCATTCCGTAAAGCATTCAAAAGCATGGTAAATATTAAGAGGAAACGTGTAAAAGTAGACATACACCTAGATCAACCTGGAATTTCTGCAGAAAATCCTGATAAGGCTGAAGACGTCTCTATTACTATGATGGTTTGTCGACGAACAAGTGGAGACAATTAGCGTCAGATTCATAGCAGTGATTTTTTCCTATAATAAAAGGTGTCAAGCATTGGAGCTTGTCATCTGCAACGGAACAAAATGAACTTGAGAGATACCCACAAATAAATAAAATAAATAAATATCTTAATTAACACTCCCTAACGGGGTCAGTTTCGGGATCAATGGAAACATGCTCATAACCAAGCGTTCATTTATTTTTTCCCTGTCGATTTCACTGAAAACCAAGGTCTTCTCGAGTTAGTTTAGAGTCCCTGGGAGTCGGAAATATCGTCCAAGTTCTTGGAAATCAAGCCTAAGTAGGTCAAAATCAAGGTTCGCGTAGCCCGGTCTCGGCTACTTTCCAGTGTTTAAGTGAGTTTAACAGGGGCTTTTTTTCGCCAGCATGCTAATAACCAAGCGTTCAATTATTTTTCCCCTGCCGATTTCACTGAAGAACAAGGTCTTCTCGAGTTGGTTTAGAGTCCCTGGGACTCGGAAATATCGTCTACGTTCTTGGCAATCATGCCTAAGTAGGTCAAAATCAAGGTGCGCGTAGCGCAGTCTCGGCTACTTGAGTTCAACAAAGGCTATATTTCGGCAAGCATGCTCATAACCAGGCTTCCCACTATTCTTCTCCTGTCGATTTCACAGAAGGACAAGGTCTTCTCGAGTCAGTTTAGAGTCCCTGGAACTCGTAAATATCGTCCAAGTTCTTGCAAATAATGCCTAAGTGGGTCAAAATCTGGTGTAATAACTTTTTATGTAGTAGCCTGGTAGTTTTTGCGGGGATATCAAGATATAAAATTGCAACGTGAAATTTCATCTCTCGATGGTAAAATTCCATCTCTTCAACGGGTAAAAAAACAGAATGATGTCAAACATCGGCAGTGTTAGTCTGATATGACTCCCATCTCGAGACGAAGTCAAACATTTCAGGTCTAATAGAGTTTTTCCATTTAAGAACTTGATGCTCTTGCTTGGCCAAACAGGTTCTTATATTTTTGTGTATTGAAATGGCAAATTTCTGCCTGCAGGTTCTTCAACCATATCATTACGTCTATACACGCGGGTTTCTACTGTAAGTTACTATTATCCGTGACATCATTTCGTTCACTCGCAAACGGTTTTCGTACTTAAAGCTATTAGCCACCCCTACCTAACTCCACTGAGGGGTACAGTTGATTTCGTATTAACCACACCTGTAGGAAATACCGGCAAAAAATGACTCAGAAAACAGCAAAAAGACTTTTACAAGTAAATTCGCGCGCAGAATTTGCAACAGTGCAAAAAAAGCCACGTGATTTATCAGTTGATCCACACCCGCGTTTTAAGTGAAATCTAACAATACGGTAAACGTAGCGGTAAAAAGTGGTTGATTCATTGAACTATTGAAAAGATTACCTCAGTTCAATCCTCATAACTTTGCTGCTTCGGTAAGCTTGTCGTGTTATCTAAAACTGTTGAGGGCACAGCTCTGGCGGGATTGCTTCAAAAATCGTATCGTACTTCTAAACACAACCAAGCCGAATTTTTTTTGAGTCAGTAGGGACAGCAGCCTCATATATAAATCTGTCGAAATTTCTTCTCTGTTAGTGTAGGAAGCCAAGAACCATTTCATTTGCGACTCTCGCGAGCTGGGAAGTGGAGAGCACACACTATCTTTCACCCATGCTCTGGATACATACATACATCATACATATGTATGTATGCATGTATGCATGTATCCAGAGGATGTGTGAAAGCGCTATCCGCTGGTTTGGAGTTCGGTATACTAATAACGGCTGCATGCATTAACACTATGGGTTTTTAAAACTTATTTGTTTCTAATTCAGCAGACTGGAGAGTTGAGGGATCCGGCTGGTCTTTTTCCCTCGGCTGGTCTTTTTCCCTCGGCAATTCCATCTCTACAACCTCTTCCCTCAAGACGTCCGTCGCATCGCCCTCGTCCCTCAGGACGCCCGTCGCGTCACCCTCGTCCCTCAGAACGTCCGTCGCTCCATGGCGTCCATCTGGCTTCCCTCGTCCATCGTGGCGTCCATCTGGTTTCTATCGTCCTTTATGGCGTCCGTCCGGTCGTTCCCGACCATCTGGACGCCCGTTTGGCAACTATTAGTGGGTTAAAAATTGGACAGATTAATAGCTACTAATATGTTTATCAAGATTACTTTTTAAATGGAATAAATGCACAAAACATACCAGTCTTTGTTTTCTTCCGAGCTTCTTGATTGAGTGTGGGAAATAGGCTTCTTATTTTGGTAGAGGAATAACAGAGATTTTGGAAGCATGGGAGATAAGCCCTACAAAAAAAAAAAAAACATTCTGTACAATAATGACGAAAATACGACTGCGTAATAACTGCGTGAGGAACGCCGAGGGAATGTATACGTCCTTTTTGATAATTTTACTGCAAAAGGCTGAGCAAAATCTACTCAATTCTACTCAATTTTTTTAAAATCTGAAATTACGACTCAAGAGGTATATGGTAGGTAGGTAAAGTCTGCATATGAGCCAAGTGGCCTATCAGGCGGGAGCTTATCCCGGTTTCATTAGCACGATGCGACTAGGAGTATTTCTATTCTCCCCCGGAGGGCGTCATTTCACTACAACTACCGGAATCCCTCACTTTTTCTTTTTCTTATATTAATCAGGGCAAATGTTATTTCAACCTCAAAATTTAAATAATAAAGAAAAAAAGAAATTAATTCTGGTAGTTTTAGTCAAATGACGCTATCGTGCAAATCTACCATTAGCTACACTCCATTAGCTACACTCCATTAGCTACACATATGGGCTTTCCGAAGCCTTTTCTAACCTAGGGTTTCCTTCCGTAGACTAGTAATTTATAACAACAAGAAATGTATTTCATATCTTACTAAAATACAAGTAGCAAATTAACAACATCTCACGTGTGGTGCGATTTATCAAAAAGACGACCCCCCCCCCAAAAAAAAACACAAACGAACAAAAACAAAATTCATGACAAAAACGAAACACCGTTTCCGTGTAGGCTCGTCACAAAAACGGTTAAGTGAAAGTGACAGTCAACAGAAAATGATATTTATACTTTCCTAGTTTATTTTTATTGCTGTTCAAGTGTGAACACTGAGATAGCAAAGTTCGCATTACCTTGCCCCACCCTGAAACTAGCCCCAGTCCCCACCCTCCCCACCCCCCTGCAAATGCATGAGCACGTACACCCAACACCGCACACAGTCACTTGTTTAAGAGTAGCAGAAAAATCAAAGTAAAACACAGCTTTATAACAATCAGGCTCTTTAATGTTACATTTGTTCACTTATGACAACTTGATATCGATATAAAACTAAAATGCAGGCTTTATTTCTTCTTTGCGGCTTCGGTGATCATGATGGGTAAGTTATTCGGCGTCTTTTTTATCTCCAAGCGTTTTGGCACATTCTCCAAACCTCACAAAGCAACACAGCTTCTCCTCACATGTCTCACTAGCCAACAAGCAGCAAGGGATAATCGGAAGACACTTTTGCTAAAATGAGATAACAAGAAAGGCAGAATTAAGGATATGGATTTCTCAGACTCATTAATAATTCATCAAGTTGAAACAAAGCAAATCATGACCGTGATGGTGTTTGGATATCTGATCTTAATTAGCATAGGTTTTTACGCTTTTAATTCTCCGTTTTCTCTTTAGTTTTAGTTTCGATTGACGAACCTCGAAGTTTGTCAAAAATACTCCGCTACGGTCGTATTTTCAACTCTCTTCTCGGTTTTTTGTATGTCGCTTTTCATCGATACTATTAAAATTGGTTTAAAATATCGTTCGCAAAAATCAGTTTTTGCTTCAGAACAGTTCAAATATGACAGTAGTTAAATTGTTAATGATTATTATGTCTTCATCTCACGTTTCCTTGCTGTTTTTTTCAAAAGAAATAGTATTTTGCACCTACTATAATTATAAGTAGTAAGTTTCAAAATCATTGCTTGCATATTCGTAACAGAAAGTAAAAAGTTCCGGTCCAAATAGGGTCAATAAAAGAAAAGAAAAGAAAACAAGAAAGCAGAAATAATTTCTGTAATAGCTTACATTCATAAAGGGAGGGATGATCTGACAACAACTGATATAACTCAGAACTTACCACAAAATCGGGCAGGTGATGTAAACGAAGGCCTGCTTCGTGCAGGCACTTTCCAGTTTTCTTGATGCACTCCAAATGTGCACAGGCATCATCCCCAGCTTTCTTGTGACACATAATTGCCCCAACAAGGCAAAATTTCTGTTGAGAAATTGCATTGCAAAAACGTGATTTTTTAAAAAAGAGTACTTAAGTAATAATTCTAAGGTCTCACTGATATAATAAATATTTTTTTTGCCCTTTCATGAGACGTACCTAGCCTTTTTTTTTATGAACTATTTAACAAATTGACGTCAGTTTTTTATGCTTCTGTCCTCTCATTGATAATAAATTGCGTCATAACATTGTTAAAGAGCCGTAGGCGAGTGGTTCCGCAGTAAACTATGACAATGTTATGACGAAATTTATCATCAATAAGAGGACAGACGCATAAAAAAACTGGTGTCAATTTGTTTTTTACAAAAACAAAACCCCAGTATGGTCAAATGCCGGGAATAAATGAAGGGAAAAGACGCCATAAACTTGCCGTAAACAAAGATAAGTGAATTTTATTCAAAATGGTGCGCACATTGTCAATAGCTATTCTCGCTTTTTGATTGGCTACTTGAAAAAGTCCATACAGTCTCATTGGTTAAAAAGTTGACAGTTTGACAGCTGAAAGTTGAACTTGAAAGTTTGCATAAATTAAAATTTTATCCGTCTGTGCTCTTATTGATGACAAAAAGGAGTTAGTCAGCGCGCGAGAAAGTAGACATTTATTCTTAAAATGCATTTTGAAGCCCACATCAATCGCTCTAATAAAAACTGTAGCCTTTAATTTTTGGTGGCTGACTTAAACTAAAATTAAACAAACGAAAATTAAGAACATTCCCAAATTTTAGTTCCTGTAGGAGGAGTTCGATCGAAATGTTTAACCCCAGGATTTCATTTAAATCCTTTGTTTTTAATGCCTTAGCTTTCCCAGAAACGTTTCTGGTAGGCTTTTGCAGTGAAAGCGCTAAGTATTTAATTTCAACATACGGATATTTCAAAAGCTTAAAATTTCCCGAAAATATGTGAGTGTGAGTATTTCCAGGGAAAAAAACATTAACTTTTGCTCAGACAGATCATTGTACTGAATACTTACCACTTTTAGGGGAATTCCAGTAGGAAAACCGCTTGGCTTAAAGCTTGGTGAAAAGGTTGGCTTACCGCTCGGCAACCCCCTCGCTTTGACTATACTGCGAACTTTCTTCGCCATTTCACGATCTTCCATCTCCAGGTAATGCAACACGGCTTGAGGATGATATTCCAACTCCGCCCAAGCGCAGGCAGCCACCGCCGCGAGACACAGCAAAGCTAACATTGACTTCATGTTGACGCGTCTAATCTGTGCTCTGGAAAACACGATGTGCAAAGAGATAAGTACCCTTGGTTATATAGAGACTGGGGGATCCTGGAGATCGTTTTGCGCATGCCTAGTAACTCTATGGAGACAAAAGTCCTCGAGGTGATATTTAAACAGCTTTAAAACTACTTAACTCCCACTTAACGCCGGTTTAGTGGGTTACCGAAAATAGATTAAATTGTTTTAAAATTAAACCTAGCAAGTCAGCATGTTGTAACCGAAACCGCATTTATAAGGAGGCTTTGTGTTAGGATATTATTGAGTGCCAGGTGCAATTAAAGTTTCCCAAGCAAATTAAAATCATCCAGTCAGTACGTAGAGTAGATATCTGAGAACTTTTTTTACTTTAGTACTTCCTGCGACACACTTTCTAGTTCTCTTGAAAACAAAGCAAAACCCTTAGTGATGTTAGTGATGTTTTCGATACTAAAAAATGCAACCAGCGAGAAGCTTGAGGTCATTGAATTAATCACCAGACTGTGATATAATATCGCGTAGTCATTTAATTAGGCTTCACCTAACGGGCCAGAAACTACTAAAAAACGAAAAATCATCTTAACGGGATCAACGACGGCACACCTCTGAACTGGGTTAGTGTGATTCAAAAGGTATTTGCCTTTTTAAAGGACCTTAGTCAACCTCCAACATTTTTGATGCCGTCGAAATCATTGATATAATTGCATGGTGAAGCAAAATCTTATCGCTTTACTGAAAGTTGTGTTCCTGTAAGTATGTTTATTATCGTTAGTAGTTTCACAGTGATTTCCTTCGTTTCGACATGCTCGGAATAAAGTATAACAGCCAAACTCTCACATGTAGACAAAAACAAAGGTGTGGCTGACTAGGGCCCTTCAAGCCGTGCAAAGAGGGGAAATGTAACTTGTTCATCCCGCTGGATAAAGTGTCAAGTTACAAATGTCGATCTTGCTAACTAGACATGTGATTCAGTTTTAGGACATGTACAAGAACAAATGGCAAAATTACAAATTAAAATTTTTAAGGTAGGACTAATGTGGCTACGCATTTGTGTTCAAGATACTGGTGTGATTGTTGGGATCAAACCTGAAGGCAAATTATGATAAGGTATGATATGTTCACCTTCAACATGGAAATTTTGCGATGGCTTTAGTTGTTGCTAAGAGTGACATGTTTGTGTGTCTGCATGTCGTACATTTTATTATTTTTTCAATTTTCTTTCCAGATTAGAGCGCATAAGCTGGCAAAACAACACGTGCGGCCTGTTTAAAGTTTGCTCTGCTAATGACTTTGTGTCTCGTTTTTTCGATACCTTAGCTAAACCCATGGTTACAAGTTTATTTATTATTTTAAAGGTAAGATAAATATTTTGAGACAAACAACTTTAGCTGAACAAAGAACTGCCTCGATAATCCACTAATAGTGTTTGCATTAAGCCACAACCTAATTTTAAATCTGGTTACTTTTTTTTTTTTTTAAATTTTCGGTGAGGAAAATTGGATTTCCCATGTCACAGAAAACTGACTTCAATTCGCTCAAGTATCCCGGACCTACTTTCCTTGCTTTTGTTTGAAGAAACTGAAATTGTGATCTTTTAAATACATATTTAAAGAAGTACATAGTACAAAGTTAAAGTCTTGGGCTATTAATTTCAGTTTTCACGTTTGTAGACACTACAGCACTGAAGAAAGGTCGGGTGTACTGCAAACAGTCTTAAATGTCAGTTGGGCCAGCTTAGAAGTTAGCACAAGATTCTTCAGTTAAAATAAACACTGAATGACGGGATCGAAAACTATTAGTTTTGTTCACACTGAGTTATCTGTCTTCCGTTTTACCCTCCCTTTATATTTTTATTTTCGGTAAGAAACACGACAGTTCTCCAAAGCGAACTTTAAATATGTCTTAAAATATGTCCAACAATTAACCATACAGGTTACTAAGCCAGGAACATGTTTCACGACTGATCAAGGTTTCAAATTTTTAATTTTTTTCTCTTGGTGTTTACATTTAGTGTTTGAAAACAAAATATATACTTTGTGCCTTTTTGTTATTTAAAGTGTTTGAAACCAGGATAAATATGTAATGAAAACATTTAAACTTAAGGATAACAAATACCCGTCTCGAAAAGAGCAAGTTGCTTAAAAATTTTAATTGCTGCGGGCAAAACTATTTTTTATCGGGAAAACTAAGTCATTGTTTTTGTTAGAAAAGTTTTGTTTTATTTTCTAACTCGGTGAGAACGTAAGATAAATATTGAGTTTTCAACACTTTACTGCTAATTATGTTTACCTTTTTTTTATGGACATGAAATATTAACATCCGTGTTGTTATTTTTCTCTTCTGGCTCGGAGCACGCTTTCAGCTGGCTGAGAAAACAGCACCTCTGGTGTTTTGCTTTTATTTACACTTACCTCCCTAACCGCTAAAAGCTGTGTACGTTTTTAATTTGCTTGGAGCTTTGTGCCGTTACGAAAACGAAAGTTAGTTATTGTGTTTATGTCATGTGAAAGCCTTAAATAATTATTTTTTGACAAACAACTTATGTGTAACAAAGAACCGTTTCAGAGCCTTCTCAAGACAAAGAGTAACTTAACTTCACTCAAGTTCTTCAGACCTGTCCACAGTATCATAGAAACACGTTTTTGTCCCTTGCTTTGTAGTAATTTACCCTATCATTTGCATACCTTTGTATATTTTGACTTAGAGCTTAATGGGTCTCTGGTTTTGCTAATACTGATTGATGTTTTTGTCCCTTAAACAAAGCCAAACCAAACGTAAAGAGTGGAAAGTACTTTCGCCGTGTATGGCAGTTTTAATTTTTGGTGAGCAATGCGGGAGCACTCTTTGCGACCTGAAAGCTTACAGTATGTTTTACAGTATTTCGAAACAAAACAACTGTAACCAGTAATCTGACTCTTCTTTGACGCTAAAGCCGTAAACGATGTAACATTTTGTTCGAAATGTTATTTAATTTCTTTCTTATAGAGATCTTAAGATTGTATATCACGTGTGCACTCGTTTCTCTTCGTTGACTGTTTTTTATCGAATAATTAAACCATAAGTATTTTAATACCATGGCTTCCAAAATTCAAAGCAAAAATTGCATAATAATGATATAAAAATTATAGTATTTGCAAAAATTTTAGGTCAACAAAAAACCTCCTCGAAACAAAAAGACAACCTAGTTTGATGAGAAGTGCATATTTTTTTGAGTTTTTTTCCTCAGACATGATCTAATTCCGGTGTTTGGTATTTAGCAGATGTAAGTAAGCAGGCCAGATAGTGCAAGATAAGTTTCCTACAACGCTGCTCAATTTTTCACAAAACATACTTAACATGTGGCAAACGAGGTAGGAAGGAGAAAAGCCCAAATATTTTGAGACTCTAGTAATCAAACTTTATGACAAGAAAGATGACTAAACTGAGAAATGTCAATAGCAGTTCAGGCTAAATACATGAAAGAAGTACCTTTACGGTCAAGAAAAGAACCGCTTAACGTAGATTTCAGTATTTACGTGTCTCTGCTAACCAGCTGTGATATCTTAAAGTCAACCTGTGTTTTCTGCAAAAAATTCTTTCTTCGAAAAGCCCAATATTCTTTTTAGAAATACAACTTATTTGTGTAACGTTGGGGAATTTTAGGAGCACTCTTCCTCTGTAAATTCCCCCTATAATTCTTTAAAAAATGCATGATTTATAAAAGAGAAGATATTATTCTGACGGATTTGCCTTATGTTGTCCATCAAACCATGCGGTGTTTATTTAAAACTTGCCTTCTTACATACATTGAAGTCCGGCCTTTTTCAATTTCGACAGCCTTATTTGATTGATTTATAACTCAAGTGGATTATATTCAAAGCAAAATTTAACAAAAATATCACGAACACAGGAACAACCTTTACCTGCTTTTAGAACAAAGCGAGGTAGACCACTGGGTATGGTACACTGAACTTCTTTAGTTGCAGGGAGGTAAGATAAATTGAGCTGCAGCTATTATACCACGTGGCTCCCGAGCCGTGTAACAGATGGACTGAATCACTCACAGAAATAAAGGACTTCAATAACTGCATGTACCTCGAGTATACAATCAGACTAATCTCCCGCGCGAAACGAAAATTTGTTCGCACCTCCGTGTAGTAGGTGAACTAAATCTGATACAACATTTTAAAAACAAAATCATCATGAACTTTTTTTGGAATCTGAGTAGAAACGTCTACAATTATTGCAAAATGTTTCGGAGTAATTTAATTTCCGACAAGTGAATGTCCGAAATTAAAATCGTCCGAAATGTTTAAGCTTCCAAAATCAGTTTGCAGTACAGTACTCACAAATCATTAAGTCAGTTTGACCCTCCAAAGCTCTTAGTTTCCTTTATGGAGCGAATTCTAGTTCACAAACGGCTTGACAGAGTTTGTGCTATTTCTATTCGGTGTACATGTGTCAGTAACACCTTGAGAGTGTAGTAAAACTATCATTTTTACAGATAATGTTTCAGTCTAATTGAAGGCGTAAATTTACTTTAGCTTTGTTTTAGCGAAGTGTCCGAAATATTTCTCCGAAATTTGTCCGAAAAGAGAAAAAAAGTGTCCAAAATTTAGGCGCCCGAAATAAAACGTCCGAGATTTTAACGTCCGAATATTTTGGCAAGTAATGAATCTGAAATTGTTATCATCACGGGCAATATAAACTTGAGAATGAATACAAGCGAGCTTCTAAGACAAGTACAAGGTGAGGAAAGTGCAGACTATGAAAAAAAGTTAGTGTTCCTCTGTTCTTAGGTTTCTCTGCCTAATTTTATAGAACAAAAACAATCACTTAGAAACAGATGGCCGAGAGAAGGGAGGTATGCTAGGAAAAACTTAGGACGGGTTATGATGGACAAAGAAACCGTTTTCACCGGCCAGGGTGTTAGATATCTTGAGGAACGTCCCGTCCGTTCCAATGATATTTAAAATTAGTTTTGTTGCGTTCTCTCGTTAAGAGAAAAACTGTTTTTAATTCATATCTGACATGCAAGGATGCAAAGCAGTTTGATGGAAAAATCAAGATAAAAAAAATCAAAGTCTGGAGGTTAATTTTGCTTAAGATTGATACTTCTATTTTTAGCATAGTCATTAAAAATTTGAAGATGATAATTCAAACGAGGCACTCAAATTATTTTCTCCCGCTCTCTTTTGTATCAAATTAAACACAGCGAAATTTGCAAAAACTTATCCGTAAGTTATAAAATAACCTATTTCCTTAACAGTGGGAAGTATAACAGTTCTTTTAAAAAATTCCAATGAATTTTAATATCACTTGAAACCGTTGAACAACGTGAAATTGCTGAAATTGAAACGACCGAGATTTTCCTGCGTCTTTTGTGTTTCTTCGACATCTGTGCAAATTCCATTGTTCTGCCCTCATAAATTTGCCTGAAGCTGTCCAAATACTTTTGTTTTCGGTCATGTCAAGTAAGGACGTGGATTCTATTTAAGACGCACTCATTTTCTCAACATAACGGTGTCAGTTGCACAAATCTTGAAACCAAAATGAAGACTTTCGCAACTCTTCTCCTCGTCTTTGCCTTGGCAGCTTATGTGTCTGCCTTTGAAAGGCCATTCCACACAGCCGTGTTTGATTTCTTGGACGAGCGACATGACGAGAGAATGGCTCAGGTTGTGAGAGATCAAGGCTTACCGAAAAACACTCTGGTTGCCCGTGAACACAAAGAACCACCAGAGTGGATTGTAAGTGGATAGGTTGACTTTTGTCTCTGATTCTCCTGGGCTTATTCTTTTTCTTCTTCTTTTTTTTTCCTTTTTTTGTTTCTCACACTAAAGTAATGCATGAGTTTGATTTTTATTAGCGAATGATCTTTCTGAGTTATTGATTGATCAAGTTCACGAAGTCAATTGTGTAGAGTGTTCCAACTGATCAGAGTCAAAGATTTCCTTCTTGGTCATCTGCAGGAAAGCCGATAGTCAATCACGTGACTTAATAGCCCTCAGATTCTACTCTAAACATCTTGGTTTGAACGCATTTTGAAAATACTTTACAAGCTTCAAACTAAACCTTCAACTGCGAGAACGAACCGTGTATTCTCCTTCAAGCCACGCCGCGTCTCAGGTTTTCAAACCTGTTTCTCGGCTCCAGTGTAATACATTAAAATTCGGTTGGGACGGGTCTTAGCAATGGAGGGATGAATAAAACTTTTCTGCAAACGCAAACGCAATTAAGGAAGTTAGACTACTTGCCTTCTACTACATTGAAATGCCCAGTTAATACTTGAAACTAGCCGTCGTTATTCAATAGGTATGAGAATTTCTTTTACTCTGCCAACCTGAATGAACACTTTTATTCTGCAGAAACCTTGCATTGCTAAAGGAAAACAGTGCTGGACTCAAGCCGAACATAACGTCTGTTCAAAGCTGTGCTGTATTGACAGATTCATTTTCTGCACCCTCGAAAGCCATCCCGGTCCACTGCCCGAACTTTCTCCTGTTCAGGTAAACACGTAAAAAAAAACCTAACGGTACGTAATGTAACGTAAAATCTAATTACTGACGATTGAGTGACATGACAAGTATGTCAGAAATATAATATTTAGAAGACACGATGAAAACCGATGAAGAGAATTGCGGGTTGCCGTGGAATTCTTTTTTTGTTTGAGATTTTGTTTGTTTTACCTCCCTCCGTCTTCAAAATTATTAGTCCACATTTTGATTAAGGTTTTGTTTAGATGCTATTGGTAAATAATTGTACAACTTTGTAGCTGATTTAGTAAATTGTTTTATACCCTTTCCTTGGGGTCTTGCGCTGCTGCATCAGGTGAGGAATAAGTTTCCCCATAAGTAGTTTAGGGCAACATCTTAAGGATGGTTTTTCCGCTTCTCGAAGTGTCTGCAAATATAAGCAAATATAAGCAAATATAAGCTTGTGACGAATGACTGGCGCATCCGCAAGAAACGTTTCACAAAGGTTGACTCGTGTAATTGCAGCCAGAATGTTCTGTAGGTACAAACGCCATCGAAACATTTGAGCAAGGCAATCCAAAAAGCACACATGAGTGAGCCAAGTTAAAGCAAATCAGAGGTACAATCAGCGGAAACTGACCAGCAAAACAGAAAGACAGAAGAAAGATTTAGACAGACAGACAGACAGACAGAAAGATTTAGACAGACAGACAGACAGACAGTCAGGCACAAAGAGCAGACAAAGAACCAGGTGAATAAATTTTTTCGGTCTATTTGAATGAAATTAGTTATATACAGTATCTGTGTTTCTTCCTCATGTAGAAAGCCTGTGTGGTGCTGCTTCATCTGTGCAGAAAACACAGTCCAACATGTGCAGGGGAAATGTGCTGCTTTGTTCGAATCAAGAGGTGCTTCGATGCAGACAAGGGAAAGCCTGACGAACCCGAAGAAGGCTATCGCCGCTGAATCCTAAGGAAAATGTTACTTTGTTTCTATGACAACAAATAGTGAGATATCGATCAAGATGATGTGCAATCAGGCTCCTTATTTTTCTTCATATATTATATTAATGTATTTAAGCAGGCTTGTTGTAGTCGCTATTAAACAAAAAGTCCATGACTTTTCTTGAGTGATTTTATTTGTGGCTCCTTTGTTAGGACCCTTGGAATGCATTTCTTAACTTGATCCCTGCGACAAGATTCAGTTAATGTTATCAAATCTGCAAATTTGAATCAGCCGTTTGTCCCCAAGTTTTTTAAGAAAACGCATCTGATTTTTGTCTGCCACGAGAGATATTTTGAGATTTCTAAATTCTTTGTCAGTAACTGATATCGAGGAGGAAAGAAATGATGATATGCGAGGAAAAGGTTTTTTTAAAACATCATGGGATCATCCAGTTTTAAATGATTTCAGACTGGCTCAGTCTTCTAGGATGCACCAAGATATTACTGACTTCGATTCACTGCGCTAAGCTCATCAGCTGGAAAGTTATGGCCAGTTTCTATTATGCAGAAGAGGGTTATTTCAGCTGCATGACCACTTGAAGGTCCAGGATAATTTTTGCGTTCTGTTTATTTCACTAGTATTATTAGAGGTAGCTCGGATTCAAATTGTTATCAGTAGTAACAATCAAAACAGCTCATTTAGTGTTCCACCTAAATAGGCTTACTGATTATTCGTAAATTCATGATTTTTGTAACATTTATGCTGTGTAACGCATCGTACAGCCTCCTCAAAATCATTTTGATCACCCTTGAATGTCCGTTCCAAATATCGCGAGTTGGCTTGAAAGCATTTGATTTTTTTGAGAGCGGGGTGGATTACCTAGCTAGGGGGGATGAGGGGAGAATGGATGGCATGGAAGAGGATTTAAGTTCCTGAAGAAGGCGCGTGACAATTCGGATTGTGATCTTTTAGAAAATATTTTCTTTTGATGTCTCAGTTAACGATATATATCGATATTCCTAATTTCGCCAGGGGTTAAGCCGAATAAATTACATACATTCACTGTAAACACTATCTTATACAAAAATTTTCAACGAGCAAATTCTGCTCCATGTAACAAATTTAGTTTTTACCTCACTGGAAAGTCATTTCGATCGATTTCATGTCTAAGGACAACCGTGTATGTTGCGAGATATCGTGTGTGCCACTGATTTCTTCTGGTGCTTGTGCACAAAGAATAGGCTCTTTGCACGATCCGATCACATGGTACAGAATTAATTATGCTGGGACGCAAGTTACACAGTGGGACATTCAAAACAAAGGAAAGTCGGGCTGGACTGGTGCGAGTTCCTTTGGTTTGGAAATCTCACTGTGTAACTTGCGTTCCAGCGTGATTAATTCCGTACCATGTGACCGGATCGTGCAAAGGGCCTATTACTCCCCGGCCAATAAGAACGTTAGCTTAAGTGGAAAAGTAAAACGCAGGTTTGATTATGGCAATCAGGCTCTTTAATTTTACATTTGCCCATTCATAACAACTTGATATCGATATAAAACTACTGTAAATCATACCATAGAAGTTTAAACAGTTTCCAGGTACATTGCCCGCTTGTTATCTGTTTACAAAGTACCGTGATGAGCTAAATTTTTAAAGTTAATTTGTCATCAGCCCAAGCGTTAGCTTTTGTTCTTGTGTTTCCTTTCTTCATGTTCTCGTCTGCTTAAATACACTTCTTTGTGCTCCCAAACTAACTAACTAACTAACTAACTAACTAACTAACTAACTAACTAACTAACTAACTAACTAACTAACTAACTAACTAACTAACTAACTAACTAACTAACTAACTAACTAACTAAAGTTTACCATCTGAAGTTTGCCTAGAAATTGCCCAGAAATTTCTTTTTCGAAGTTTTTTTGCTGCAGATTGGGCGAATCTTAGGCTCGAAAAATAAAAACAGATTTTTTTCGGTCATTTTTTGCATTCAACTCTTGACTCATCCGACTTCTCATGGTTATATCCGATGCGTCTTCATATCTCCAAGCCATGTTGGGCAACTGGAAGCGAGGTTAAGAATGAGATAAAACCGGTAAAAAAGCATGCTTGGGGCTTAAATGTGTTTGCTTTCCTAAGAAGAAAAGAATAGTAATCAGAAGGGACTACAACAGATGTGTGATAGTCACGGATTTGATGAAAGATTCTGGGTGGGATGCACTGGAAATTAGAAAAAGAAAGACTAGACCGACGTTCAAGTACAAATTAAGCCACGATTTGGTTTATACAGACTGTTAAGAACTCTTGATCCATCCCACCTGATGACTCCACAAGAAGTAGCTACCAAAGTTAAGAATCCCTTACTTTAAGAAGGACGTTTCTAAGTGTTCATTTTTTCCAGGAACTATCACCGACTGGAATTGCCCTGCCTCACGGTGAAATAGTCCTCTCGAGTTCCTTAACTTCTTTCAAATTTAATCTGCCGTAATCCTTTTAGGGTCAATTTTTCTTTTACAGTTCGACAGTCCTTGTGTTGACCGCTTGCTATTGTACTGACTCAACCTATGCTGATATGAATAAGGAAAGTGTAAAATCTTATGTTGTTTTTCTTTTAGCCTAGATCATGAGAGGCAATTTTGAACTCCAGGCAATCTTCAATTCAAGAAGCAAGGTTTTGTTAAAACTTTTTGATCATGCAGTATCCTAGCATCATTTCTCGCGTAACTGAACAATGTGAGGATTTATTCTCTTGGTTAGCTCAGGTTAAACAAAGCCGACGGGTTTAGCATGTAATTTGCAGAGCTATTTCAAAAAGATGTTTAAATTTCCAATTAGTCTCCTTTATTCATCAATTAGCGTCTATTATTTAAAAACACAACATGGACTTATATTTGAATGGAGTTCTACTTTTTCAACAAGAAAACTATTTACATCGCTTCGAGGAAGTTAAAGGTCATCAAATCAGAATCGTTGGTTTCATTAAGTGTTTCTGTTTCAAATATATGAACTGGTTTCAACTGGGTGAACCGAACAAAGCACTTAAATCATGAACAACTCGAAGATCATGGGAAAAAAAAAAACTAACAAACCTTTCATGGCTTCAAAACACAACTCCATGACCCAGCTTGATGTTATTTGAAGAAAATGGTGTTAATTTACGATTTGACATGTTTTTGAAATTTACAAGAAATCGAACCTACAGGATTAATATTCCACTTGCCATATTCCATAGTATAAGATATTAGTATTAGCGCTTTTTACATCACATCTGGTTGGCGCAAAATTCACGTTTTATTGATTTCAGTGTTTTTGTTTGTCAATTCCATGGAAATATTAATTGCCCTAAAAAATAATTTCTACCAAATTTCTATATATTTCTTATATAACTAGTGAAATTTTCACATTGATCTGATTAAGGTAAGACTGGTAAATACTTGTTAATAAGTAACGCATTCGAGTGGTAAACCATGAAATATTTTACGAGTCACTTGTATATTCACGGTATAAAAAGGGTCTTGTGTATACCAAGAAAGTGCCAGTGACAAGTGGGATTCTTAATGGTGTACCAGGAGAAAGTATTGCACAACTATTTCATTCCATGCTACAGAAAATACCGTGGCAAACTTGATGATTGCAGCGCATGGTGGGAAGGTTGGGTGTATACAACAGCTTTCCTGTCGTCTGATTCGCTCTCTCTTCTATGGCATGGTATAGCAGCTAATTAAAAATGCTTGGTATGGTTCAGAAAAAAACAAAAACTGTATCGAAACACTGCCAGTTTGTCGCCGTGATCTGCAGCCTTTGCCCAGAAAAAAATTAAAGAAAATGATAATAGAATAGAAAATGAGTCACGGCGCTTGGTCTGAACATATGCTGTTACAAATCACTAACATTCCTATAACTGTTGATGGTTAGGTTGTTTGTTTGTTTCTTTGGTTGGTCGTTTTTATTTGGCTGTTTGTTTGTTTCTTCTGCTGTTTGGTTGCTTGGCTGATTGTTTGTTTGTTTTTCTCGACGCTGATATCAATATCATATTAGGGGTGGTGAATGGTAAGTGCGAGACTTTGCGAGACGGCGAGACAAGCGCTTTCTTTGCGAGCCCGAGAGATATTGACTTTTTAGATTGCGAGACCGAGACTTCAAAGTGTTTTGAGTGCGAGCGCGAGGGGCTCAGAGATTCGAGCCCCAGATTTAGTTGAGAGCTATAAGAATGAGCGAGAATGTAAATACTTGTGCCTTTACACATTTCCACAGGAGACAACAGATAAGTTCTTCCACTTCGTGGGTTTCATCATGAGCTATCGTGGGTTGTGTGAGTGTGTGGCTTTTTGATTCCCCTTTTAGTCTTTTAGCCAGCCTTTGCGAACATGCTGAAACTGGAAATTCGACTATAACACACTACGTTAGGATATCCTAGCACAAAATAACTGTTTTTTGGCGCCAAAATGACGTTGGGGTAAATTTTATAGCTTTTTGTGGAATTCAGACAATTTGGCAGAAGTTAGGATTAACTTTTTCTCGGAAATTTGAAAGTTGCTTTAATGAAATTCAATATCAAGTGACGAGAAGACGTCATTTATTAAAACAAACAAGCGAATCGGAACTTCGAAACCCTTAACCTTGCAAAAAGTTGAGCTTCGTACAAAAATCGAGACTGCGAGACGCACATAACCGCTAAGAAAACGAGACTGCGAGACCCGTGAAATTCGACTAAAACTTTGCGATATTTCAAAATTCAGCTTGATAGTGAGGGCTAGAGGCACAAACAAAAGAAACGAATAAACATGGTCATTCAATTTCCTTTGTTTGTGTCCTCTAGGCCTCACTGCCAAGCTGAATTTTAACATAGGGAAATTAGTCTTTTCAGTATAAGCCTCTTTGCAAGGAATTCTACGCCCTACACAAGGCAAAATCTATCCCATAAAATACATAACGGTGAGCATCATATCTGTGTCTGTTCTATTTGCAGAAAGGCTGTGTAGCGCTGTTTTATCCGTGCAGAAAGCAAAGCCCAAGCTGTGTAGGAGAAATGTGCTGCTTCATTCGTAACAAGAGGTGTTTTGAAATGGCTACCGAAGAATAAATCCTCCAGAATATGTTATATTGTTACCATGGTAACGAAAGATATCGATCAAGATGATACAGCTGTTTCAAGAAACGTCGGATAAAGTGTTAAGCCTACGCGTCAAGAC